TTTACACATATTTTCATTTGTTCTGCCACACTTCTCTCAAACTGAATTCAGAAGCAAAATTAATTTTATGGCTTGTTAGAGATATTTGACAATTGTGCTTTGAGTTATTGCAGCTGACTGAAAAACAGTGACGAGGAGCTTAATAGGGTTTTGTTTCTCTCTAAAGTAATGTGGAAAGATTCTGTTACTTGTCTGCCCTACTGTGAGGTATTTTGTTCTCAAGGATTTCTTGCCTTCAATCTTCAAGAAAATGGCAACACAGCAAAAATTATTCTTAGCAGAGGAAATCTAAAGCTATTGTATGTATCGTGTGTGTGATGATAGTCTACGTTTTAAAAGTGCCTGGATCCAGGAAAGTTAAGAGTTAATGGGCTTAGAGTTTCAATGCTGAAGATGCCAGGTTTAGTCCATGATAAATCTGCAGTGACTCTGATTTATGTATCATATAGAGTGAGTGTTTCTTTGAGTATGGAATTATAAATATTTTTACACACTCTTTTATACCAAGGAGTAGAGATCATCAATACATGCACTTTGACCATCTTGCTAATTATCGTTGCATTGGAGGGCATCCAGCACGTGAAAAATTGACAATACTTCTTGTTTGCCTTCATGCTAGAAAGGAATTCAGTTGTGTAATGCCTAGGGTGGAGAGAAGCAGAGTATAATTTCTGTCTCCCAGACCTCACCAGCTGCATGCTATTTACTCGGGAGAGGTGTTGCTGAGTTGGGAAATAATGTATAGTCATTACAATAATTTAAAATACAGAAGAGTCTCCGGGTACAAAAACCCAATCAGATTGTAGCCATAAAGATTACTTTTTTGATAGTAGGGTATGTAAAATATAATACATAGCTGTAGGGCTGGGATCGGGAAAGATAATAAGAGAAGAAACAATTTGCAATAATTACTAGAACTGAGAATGCTATTTTTTTGAATCATGAGAGACTAGAAATATTTTTCAATATGGCTTCATTGCCTACAGTTTCAAATAGATGCTCAAGTCAAAAGGTAATGGCGGGCTTTTATTTCTGTCTTAAATCATCAGAGACCGTCCTCCACATTGCTTCCGAATTATAGTCGTTCTGGCTCTGACTATAGTATTTTAATTTCGATAGTACTGTTTATGATTGCCTCTGTGGTCCTTTTTATACCAGAAAGGTCATATTGAGTCTTCGATGGTGTATCATATTTGTCCACATTTACTAATTCAGGTATTATGCTTTCTATCAGTTTGCTTAGTCTAGAGGCCATAATATGTAACTTCTCAGCTGTTATCATTAAGAACTTTGACATATTTACCAAACCTATCTTCCAGCTGTTTGTAAACCCTGTGAATTAAATATGATGCTAGCAGTAATCTGGCCAAACCAAAACACAGTAATTTTAAGTAGAGTAAAAGTAACTCTGTCAGTCAGGGTACTTGCAGGTATTTGACATCATAGCCTTACCAATCGCTGTGGTCTTACCAGTTACTCTATAAATTCCAAGAAAAACAAGGTAATGATAAACAGGAAAACACACAGAAAAATAAGTAAAATAAAATAAAACTACAAGCTTTTCTTTCTTTCTCCAGGTCATGAGGAAGAGAACAGAGCACATCCTCCCATTTTCTGTGACAGATTGTTTGTAAAGAACGGTATTTGCAAAAGGTGTGGAGAGCTGGCGTGACTCACAGCAAAGAGGTCAGAGCTGGGCAGAACAAGTTAGCCGCTGACGTGAGATCAGGCAATTGCAAGTACTGGGAGGCAGGCAGGAAGCACCTTGCAATTCTGGAACAGGATTTTGATGTGAATGGGCTGCCTAAGAGCACAGCAGTGGAGCCAAGGAATCCTGCCCTGTGATATATACACATACTAGTCTCTTATTACAGAGGGTCACCAAACAGTAATAAACTTAAGGATCTGATTACAGAGCTTAGTTGATATTTACTGGGTGACACCCTCACAGAGGGTGGTGAGACACTGGACCAGGTTGCCCAGAGAAGCTGTGGCTGCCCCCTCCCTGGCAGTTCAAGGCTAGGTTGGATGGGGCTTTGAGCAACCTGGGTGGTGGGAGGTGTCCCTGCCCATGGCAGGGGGGTTGGAACTAGATGGTCTTTAAGGTCCCTTCCAGCCCAAACCATTCTGTGATTCTAGTACTTTATGCTTTCAGAGTGTGGTACAAATAATACAGTTACTAAGCCAAGAATGTTTTTATGTGGAATACAGACATGAGAGTGTCATTTTACAAGTTAAAATCATCATATGGTACAGAGTGTCTCTCCTTTATAACTAGTCAGCCACATATAAAACCTCTTTTTCCTCCAGTTCCCAGCAAAAAATAATTGCATAAAGGGGGATTAGTTGCCTGTGAGGTTTTTTTAAAGTAATAAAATAACTCAAGTTTAGCATCTTTATCAGGGGAAAACATAGTGCTGTTCCCAAAATAGATGGTCTGTTGTTATAGGCTTGGAGGAAGGAAAGATGCAGGATGTCTCCTTTCAGCATTGTGTGAAGGTGAGAAAACTTGTAAGGGATCTTTTGTGGAAAGCTTGGATGGCATTTTACTTGGTAACATGTCTTCTGTTTGATTTTAGCTCATTAAGGTAATTTGTCATGTACAATTCAGATGCCTTAGGGTAAATTCCTTCTAGTGCACCTCCACTTAAAATTGATGTTATATGACAGATTAATTTTGCCCGTTTATTGTCTAATCTTTTTCAGTTGTATGATCTACAAAGAATGTTAGCCTGGTTTCATTGGTGATGACTCTTATCTGATGTTTTAATTTCTTGTAGTCATATATAAACACTCTTTGTTAATTGCTGTGACATTACCATGTGTTACTGACACCTAAATTCTTTCAAGTTACAGTTAAATACTGTCTTGCGACTTTACTGATTCAAATACTTTCTTTTGGATGTCAGCATTATGTCCAGAGAAACTATTTTGCACTATTCAGCAATTGGTGCTTTTGCCTGTTCCTTGTGCTAACATAGTTTTGGAAAGGCTGTTCTGGTTGACAAGGCGTATCATTCAGTGAGCTTGTGTAATTAAAAAATTTCTTCTATTGCTGTTGTGCAGTTCTAGCAGTTCTGAGATAATTTCACAAAGGTTAGTGTAGCAGCTTTATCATTAACTCTAAAAAGGAATCATTAGATCATCTGCCATGATCTCCTGTGTATTGGAGAACATTATATGTAAAGTTGGGTGCTTCTGTACTTTACTGAGTAACCCGTATTTGTCTGAAGCACATATGAATGCATTGAGAGATGGGAAATCCGCTCCTTCTTTGGCAGTTCGTTGCACTGGTCAGTTACTGAAATGGTAAAAATGTATGCCTTGCTTCTCTCTTGAATTTGGTTGATTACTTCCAGTTGGTAGTTCTTGATCACTTCTTCACTGAAACACTTCTCAATACTCAGGTTTATTTTTCTATGCAAAGGTACTTGTATGCTACTTAATCAAGTCATCTCTCAGTCTTCTTCTCACTACATTGCCAGATTACTCTTTCTTAGTGTCTAGGCAAAAAGTCTTTCCTCCATCCCTTCAATATTATTGTTTTGGGCTTGTTTTCAGTTTTTGGTTTTCTTTTAAAAAAGTGGACACCCTAGCAGATTAAGGGCACTGATGTTCAGGTTCCATAATGAAGATACGCATATCTCTTACCTTCTTTTATTACCTGGCTCTCTCCACCATGGCAGAGGGTAATGCAGAAGAGTGGTAGGCACTGACAGAGGAAGGACCTCTGAAATGCATTTTCTTTTTTCCATCTCTTTCTTCCCCCAAGAGAGAAGAACTATTGTGATGATACATTCTGTTGACTGAAGATATCTTTTAGACATGTGGGTTATTCCTCTTTCTTCTAGTGCGGTTAAAACATTAAAATGCTTATGTATGATCAAGGCTGTAAGTTTTTATAGCTGATGACTGCAGAGCACATCTGTTGATTTGGCCCACCCTTATCACATGGCTGACACCTTCATAGATTACTTGTTTTAGGAAATTGAGAGGTTGTATCTGCTCTATGTTGCTGCATTTATTAAGCTTGCCAGTTATCTCGCATTAGGGCCCCAGTGCGTGCATCACAATCACAGTCTGAATCCAGCTTTATTGATGCTAAGTTAACAAAAATATTTTGAAAGTGTCATTATACAGAACTGATCGAATACATCTTAAGAGTCCTCATTTGAGAGAAATCAATCCCTGATTTGACCACAAGGGTAGAAATGCCTTGCAACCTGCTACCCGTTTTGACCATCAATTAAGTCACCGGGAAAAGCTATTGGTAAATGGCAAAGATACGCTTGTATATGCTTGATGTGTCTGGTATAAGTGGTTTTAGCAGGTGAATAACCGAGAATTGATTCCCCACCACGTCCATTACAGCTTCTTTGAACTTTCTGTATTACTAAGTGAATGACCTACTTCTTTGATCTAAAATTAGTGTGAGTAATTCCATTTTAAAAGTGTTTCCAAGTACCTCCACTTTTGCACCCCTGCTGCTTGCTTTCATTATACAATAAAGTTGATAGTTTCTTCCTTAAGCAAAGAACTTAACCGGGTTTTAAATTATTTTCCTGAGGATGAATGCCAGCAGTTTGTTAGGGTTTAGGAGTACAAGTTCCCCTGACTTTTCAAAATTGTATCTGTACACTTAAGAGTCCCACCAAGCAGATGAGAGACCAGAATTTAATCTTTGTGGTTCTTGTTTGTTAGGAAGTATTTCACTGTGGTATGTGGGAAAACCCAGGGGAGACACACAAATTATTGCAGAAAAATTATTTGGCTCTCTAAGGAAGCCTGTGTGAGACACTGCTTTCAGCAACATCAAAATGTAACTGCACATACCAGACTTCTTCATTCATGCTGCCAAAGGAATAATAGGATTACCCTGCTTTGTTTTGCTTTTTCACCCTGGAATTAAATGAACTGAAACTTGACATATGAGACTCTGGAAAATAAGGTCAGCTGGAAAAGAGTTCATTGTCCTTTTATTCTTATTCTTCTTAGGTGTTCACAGACAAGTCCAGGTTTATCCAGAGAACCATGGCAGAAGGTGGATTTGATCCTTGTGAATGCATTTGCTCGCATGAACATGCAATGAGAAGACTGATTAATCTGGTAAGGATAACATGAGGATATTTGGAAGGGTGTTTATTCAGACATTACTTCAGCTCTTGCAGATTTGCAGTTACTGATGCTTTTGATTCTGCTTATTCACTTGCGTGTACAGTTAGAATCTGGGTATCTGACTTTCTGATGAGCATTTGAGTAGTTAATACAAATGATAGCTTTCTGTTTATTTCCCAGGGATGCATTTTGACAGCATGGACAGTGTTGCTATTGAAATGTTTCTTGTAATCCTTTCTTAGTCTGCATAAAAACAAAGAAGCTACCTTGCAAACTCTCTGAGTTCAGGGTGATACCACACATACAAAGTTCCACGTACTCATATGGCAAGGTAACAATGTCTACATTTTTAAAACTAACCTTTAAAAAATTCTGAAGTTGAGAATCCACTCTGAAGTTGAGTTTTGAGTTCTCTTTCCTGCTATGTCTTTGCTATGGTTGAGCAACTTCAAGCCAGTTGTTTTACATTGCTGTCACTGTGACCTGTAAAATAGGAACGATTCTTTGCTTCTATATGGAACTTAGTTCACTGTCCATTGAAGAAAAAGCTACAAAGTGCTAATTTTTTTTTTCCAAGTAAATGTTCTTTAAAATAACACTAACAATTGTGAACTGTGAGCAATTAGGTGAACTTGATTACAACTCTAATTTGGTTAAACTGGTTTTTAAGATCAGATTGTACATCAGGTTCATTTGATGTACTTCCCCTTGTTGATTTTCATAAATTTGTGTTTATCCTATTTTCTTTCTTAGGGTCTAAATTAATGTCCTTTTAAGTTAGCTGAGTACATCAACCACTCAAGGCAGTATGTATGAAGAGCATCCTCTCTAGGATCAGGCCCTTCTTCAAGAGGTTCCTTATCAGTGTTTTAGGAAAGTTATCAGGAAAATTTTGCATCCGCTAGCCTCTGATAAGAGTAGGCTAATGTGTAAATCCCCAAAGAATGTATGTCTGGGAAGAAGAAATCAATTTGTCTGCTTGCCTTTAAAATACAACCACTTCCATGTGCATACATCCACAAAAGAACAAACTTGTTTTAAACAGCACTTTGCAAGAAGTATATATAGCTTGTTCTTGCAAATGTGTGGGTTGCACTCATATAGCCCTGCTTCACCCTAAATGTAAAATCTTGAGTGTCCACACTTTGTTGGTCCTGGAGTGTATTATTACGTTATCTCATCTGGAGTGCCAGTGGAAGAACCTAAAGCCAGGCAGATGCTGTACCTGGGTGTGCTCTCAGGGAGCTTGGCTGACCCCATTTTCCAGAATTACTTTGCTCAGAGTAAGCAGAGTTCACCACACATGTCCATAACGCAGCACTGCAGGACCTGTGCCGTTGTGTTCTCACATTGTACCCATGGGCCTGTGCACACAGAATGCCCCCTCAGAAACACACAGGCCACACTGGGAGACAACATATGCCAGACCAGGCTCTCCTAGTGGGAGGGCTACATCAGTGGCTGCAGCAGAAGGCAAAACAATCCCCCACAAGGACAAGAGGAAGTGACAAGCACTTGTCATCTCACACACTATGAGACAGACTCTTGGGCTAAGCATTAAAGCTGGAGTTGCCAAACAGCCCAGATCTGTGTAGTGGCCAACTGCACCAAAGTGCAAAATGACACCAGACAAATAGAGCATATCTGCATAGCCAATTCCATGTGCTTTATGGGCCTGATATAATTTCCCTTTGGTAGTTCCCAAGTGTGATGCAGGCAGTGCTCTCTTGATGCTCACAAGTCACTAGAGGTTGACTCACTGTCTTATTGCTGAATAGGCAACAGGCTTGTTTAGGGTATGGATGTGTAAGAAGTGGAAGGGATGCGTACCCATTTGCTGGTGTTACCAGAATTGTTCAGGTTGGAAGGTACTTCAGGAGGTCATCTAGGCCAACCTCCTGCTCAAAGCAGGGTCAACAGTGAATTCAGACAAGGTCATTCCGGCCTTTTATTCCAGCAGAGTCTTGAAAACCTTCAAGGATAGCAATTCCACAGCCTCTTGGGGCAACCTGCTCCAGTGTGTGACAGCCCTTGTAGTACAGAAGTTTCTCCATCCTCTGTTTTAGTTGAATGTATCGTACTCTCTGCCATACAGCTCAGTGAAGAGCCTTTCTCTGTCCTCTCAGGAACCTCCTTGTAAGTACTGGGGGGCTGCTGTTAGATCCATCCAAACCCATCTCTTCTCTGGGCTGACGAAGCCCAGGTTCCTCAGCCTCTCCTTACAGGACAAGTGCTCCAGCTCCTGGTGACCCCCTCCTGAATTCACTTCAGCCTGTAAATATGTCTTGTATAGGGGAGCTCAAGACTGGATGCAGTATTCCAGATACAGGTTTAAAGTGCAGGGTTGTTATCACGTCCTTCAATCTACTTATGCACTGTTTAAAGGTCAGTGCTGTTGCCACAAGGGCATAGAAAATTGATGCTTCTGTGGAGAACAGTTGCCTCTTCTGTGGAGCCTTTACATCAGGGTCCAGCTTCCCAGTCAGAGGCACAATTTCAAAGTATTCAGCGTTCTCCCTGCTACCCCCATATGGATGCTCATAGACATGTTCATTTCCAAGGAGGATTTTCCTCTGGTCCTCCACATGACATTTGCTGTATTCCACAGTTGTGTTGATTCTGGACCTGGAGGTTTCTGGACACGTAGAATCATTACGGTTGGAAAAGACCTCTAAGATCATCAAGTGCAGCCATCAACCCAACACCACCATGCCCACTAAACCATGTCCCAAAGTGCCACAACTATACATTTTTTGAACACCTCCAGGGATGGTGACTCCACCACTTCCCTGGGCAGCTTGTTCCAATGCTTGACCACTCTTTCAGTAAGAATTTTTTCCTGATGTCCAATCTAAACCTCACCTGGTGCAACTTGAGGCCATTTGCTCTTGTCCTTTCGCTAGTTACCTGGGAGAAGAGACCAACATCCACCTCACTAATAAATGGTGACAAAGGAACCTCCAGTACCAAGCTTCAGGAAGTTGGGAGGTAGAAAGGAGGATGCACATTGGTTGTCCTTTCCTCTGAGGCTTGTGAGATGCAGATCTGAACCAGTACGGTTCAGACTTTTGACCCCCATTCAGCACTTTTTATCTTTTCCTTTTTTGCTAGAACATACTGACAGGCAGTGACACCCATCAGGCAGTTCTCTTTATGTTGTAGCTGGAGGATTCTGGCTATGAACGATATAGGTGAATTGTGTCCAAAGTCAGAAGAAGTGCCACAAAGGTCTGTGAGATTTTGTTCCTGGGCTTCTCCATACAGTGTAAGATGGGTGCAAATGGATCATCTGGGAGCATACTATCCTACACTACGTTCCTACATTGTGAAGGTAAACAGAACATATCATAGGTGCATGCTCTTGGACAGTTACCAAGAGCAGTCTGACAGTGTTCCTGTGTAGCTGCAAGAACGGAGTTTATTGCTGAGTGTCCAGCTTCCAAAAAGATCATGCCAATTAGCACTTGAAACTGTGAGGAGTAAAGGGAAATGCCAGATTTCATCTATCCTAAAAAGCAAAGCAGATGCTTCTAAATATTTATAAGAGCAAATCACTAGCTGGGATAATTCAGCAGAATCTAGAAAGGAAAAAGTCTCAGTCAGCAGCCAGACTATCCTCAAGTAATCTGTTGCATGTTTTTAGCAGGAGACTTGCTAAACCTTCATTATTGCATCTGTAACTTTTATGCTGGAGTAAGAGTTTGCTTTCTAAGTTGCTGTTTTGTCACTCAATTTTACACAACATAGGCAAACAGGAATTTTACTATTTGTTTTAAAAGGAACCCTTGGACATTGGTTCTTGAAGTTGCCAAACCCCACAAGTGTCAATGGAGACTGGGTGCCCACTACCTCTAAAAGTTGGATCCTCAAAACGGTTACTCCAAAACCATTGTGATACAAGAAAGCTAGGCAATCTGTAGGTATTCGGCCGGGGGGGGGAAATATCCGAACATGCTGTATACCCAGTGTGGTTCCCTTTATGTACTTAATTGTTGATTCTTTTTAACCTAGACAGATCTAAAACACACCAGAGCACATTTGAATGGTGTTATAACTGGGAGTGCTTGTCAGGAGTTTGGAGCAAGTTGCGTAACAAGGTGGTTGTAATTGTCTCCATACCGAGCATTGTAAATCCAGAGGTTCAGAGTTAAGATCAAATTTAACAGAATATCAGTGTAATTATAAGAGATGCCCAAGTGTGGAAATGTACTTTTAGGATTCTTCAGTCTAGTAATGACATTGTGCAGAACTGCCATGAATAATGTAGACTTTAGTAACTTGCACTTGGGTTAAAGTAAAGTAATTTTTACAGACTAATTTGTTTATACCTGTATAGAACAATATTGATAAGAATTAAGGCTTCTGCTAATGAAGAAGGCATGCTATATTCAGTTATCACAGTTACGTAGAGTTAAAAATACATACTCAGATACACAAGATTTCTGTTAGAGTTAACTGTGTGGGAAATTTGAATGACAATGCTATGCCAAGGTCAGAAGGAGGTCAAAAAGTTTGACTCTAGAACCTGAAGTTCTCATTTTGATTCCCAACATGTTACTTCTGATGTCTAATTTAATTACTGTATTTACTTCGAAATTGTAAGAAAATGTATTTGGCATTCGAAGTAAAATTTGTGGATGAATACATTGTATTTATTATATATAGCATATAATTTAAATCTCTACTTGAAATGCAGACTTCAGTTCATCTTGTCATTACAATTAATGCTTATACAATGAAAAAAGAAAAGCTGTTGTCATTTAAACTCTTCTTCCTCTCTGTTACTAGCAACACTACAGAAAATTACAAACAAGCGAGCTGTTTTTTTTTAAAAAAACTAACTCTTACTAAGATACATCTTGATTGTTTTTCTGTCCTCCTTTTTGCTTGATTAAGCTGGGGTTTGTTTTGTTGGGTTTTTTCTTCTTAGTTTGTAATATGAAGATTTTCTAGATAGTGGACTGTAGAACTCTAATGCGCATGATATTTTT